GGTGCGGGAGGTCCTCGGCGCCCCCCGGGGCGGGGAGGGGGAGAAGGCTGGCGTTGGTCGGGGGGATGTCTCTTCGCGCCCCGCGTCTTCGCCCCGTGGGGTTTTCTACCCAAAGCTGTTGGCTGAAGCAGAAAACAAAGCTGTGAAACCGCCAGTTCCGGCCAGGCTGCGGTTCCACCAACATCTCCAGAACTTCGCGCACCCAGCACCTGCGGTCAGGCCTGGGGAGCTTCCCGCTGTCCACACGGGTGCGGCCGCACGGAGTGCCTGCACAGCGCCGTAAGAATGCTGAAATAAGTCTCGCTTTTGCTACGCAGAGCAGCTGAAAGAAGCAAAATGTCGGAATTAAGATTGCCCGTGCAGTCTTGGCCTGCTCCACAGCGCGGGGAACCCATCACAACACAGCGTCGCTGCACGATCACAGACTTTCTTTTTTTCGCTCCCCTCGAACCTCTGACTGACTGGGCGCATGAGACAGATGGCATCGGAGGGTGAATCAGGATTCTGTGGTGAATAAAGAGATGGTAAATCTCGGGTCTGGCGGCTTCCATTTTTAACCGTAACGTTCTGTAACCGTAGCGTCCGATTTCCCATAGTTTTGGGGGTGTAGTACTGAAATAACACTCTCTCACGTGGAGCCACGTTCACAAGCACGCTGTGAGTCTTCAGAAGGGCTTGACACCTTCGAATTCACAGGAGCAACCTTCAACAAAGGCTTGAGGTGAACTCAATGCTAAAAGGGATTCAAGGAAATGAGAAGGGATTAATGGATCTGCAGTACTTACACAGGGTTATTTTTTCGCTGGGGGGGGCCAGTGTTCTCTCCTTGAAACTTGGCAATGGGAGGCACTTCCCTGTGGCTACACCCTTTGTTCACTCCTCCTTTCCAACCTTCAAGGTCCTGCCTCTGTTGCTACCCTTTCCTCTGTCCCACCTGCCACAGGTCCTTCCTCTCCCATCCATGCCTTTTCCCCAGCTCCCTCGCACTTAGACCAGCCTCTCTTCCCCTGAGGCTCTGCTGCTGTTGTTCCCTCAAGGACATCCTTCTTCTGTGCTCTCCTCCTCACCTCTGAGAAGCTCCATGCAAAAGGAGCAGCACGGTAAGCGAAGAGGACAGGGTCTCTCAAGGCCCCGTGGCGTTTACCACAAAGATGCTCGCGGCCAGAAGGACGTCTGAGCCAGGCCATGCATGGCTCCTGCGACTAACGGAGAAAACAGCCAAGCGGATCGGCTGTGTTACGGATTTTATGTTGTGAAAGACAATGGGATGTACATAAAACTCTGTTGCTGTGTAGGAAAGTCCTGCTAGTATTTGGAGCTGTAAGGAAACAGAATATGTTAGTACATGGCAAACAGGTTTTCCGGACATGTATGACCTGGCCAAACACAGGAAAATTTTCACAAGATCATCAGGATTAATATCTTTGGTACCAATATATTCTTTCTGCCAAACGTTAAGTCACTGTTCAAATCCTGGAAGCATTAATCTCCTTCAGCCTAGCAGCCTCCAGAAATGTTTTGTCATATGGAAAAATCAATGTGTTTTGTCAATTTAATTCTTCACCTCAGTTAGAAAAAGCAACTTAAAAGTGAGGAGTTTAAAAGCAAAGTCAGCTTGAGCAAAATGGCCCTCTTGGAAAACACAAGTCCCAAATGACAGACATATTTGTCCAGACAAGCAGCAACTGTAAAAAGGACCTTAAAAGAGAAAAGGTCAGCAGAGCTTAATGGCAAATACATTTCTCTGTACCAGCACTGACATTTACCTCAGATAGCCCGATGATTTTCTGTTCATTCCTAGAAAGTGTTCCCGCCCTGAAGTTTTGTGTACGATTTCTCTTGATAGGCATCTTTCTGACGATGTTACTGTATTGAGCACAGGATCGAAGACTCCTGGGGGATCAAGCGCATAGCTAGAGTTGTTACTCTTCTTTTATTTCTCCCCCTGCTTTTGGCAGCATCCCCGTATGAAGGAACTACCAGTTGCTGATGACAGCAAAACTCCCCTGGGCACCTGTACAGAATCTGGGATTCAGTCTGTGAGATGTTTAAAAAGTCATCTAAAATTTTTGGAGGGCCTCGTGTGTTACCACATTTCTGTGATTCGTGTATGCAATGAACGTAGTAGGATGCAGAAGTTTGTACAATTGGACAAACTTTTTTTGAGGGTGAAGAATGAGTATATGTTTCTAAATTAGTAACATTATGATTCAAACTCGTGGTCCAAGCTTTTGGTTTTCAAAACACAAAAGAAAAATGAAATTTCTACCAATGTAGTGATTTACTCAGTTCGGAAAAACAGTTCCAGGATAGGAGTAACAAAGATCACATTAACACAGAGATGGTATGAAAAGTAAGTGTGAGGAACCAAAACGTGACTCTTCAGAGCTGTGCTGAATCAAATTGGTTCTATGTGCTTTACTTTCACAAGCACACGTTCCAAATTTCTAAGCTTTATTCAAACACAGATACTTCTGACATCAGTCACTCCTGCCCACCACTATAGGAGTCTCATTCTTCCACGTGATCAGAAGGGATAAGTCTTGAACAAACTTCCAATATTCAGCTATTTTGGTTTTGTTCCCGTGGTATAATTGCGGCAGTGTAAGCTATAGCTTCATCCATTCCCTGCATAGAAGGAGCACAGCTGATCAGTTTGGATGTGTCAGAGGCTTTCTACTAAATCCGATGGGCAATTCATTCTGCTGAAAACATTTACATGCGATGCTACGAGTCTGCCATTTGCAGAAAAGGACAGCTGTACACAAACATGACAGCTCAACACGAGACCTTAAGTAATGGTGATAAATCATTCGTGTAGAAACGATTCACTGTCACCTTTTGTGACAACAAATTTGCTGACAGCAAATTTGCCACAGTAATACAACTGACACAGATAGGATCAATTTTATCCCGTAAATGCTAAAGCTTTCAACAAACTACCTACACAGGAGAAACTTATCCCACTGCACTGACGTGAAATGACTTTGGCAAATAAGATCGAAAGCTGCTGGAAACTTTGATGTGAGGGCCATAGGAGGATAAATACATTAAAGACCATGAACCTCTCTGTTACTGGGAAAGCAAGTACAGTAATAGAATATTATATATGTATGAGACAGAGTATAGGCTTTTTATATATGGAGACACATTTCTGTTTAAGACCAAGTCTGTTTAACACATCTGAGTGGCATTGTATCTATACATTTTTTGTGTGTGTTGGTTATACAAAAATATTTGCTTTTTCTGAGCAGAACTTTGCACTGATTTTTCTCAAAAGCAGCAAATATTTTACAGAAGATTGACTCATAATTTTACATTATCCGATCCTTTTTATAAACGAATTCTTTGGACTTTTAAGGCATGATCCACCCCAAACCTGTTTGAATTCTCTTCTACCTTAGGGATATGACTAAAGAGCCTATGCTTAAGGAAGACTAGAATATATGAAAACCATAGCATATGTGAATGAAAAGACTAACTGAAGGGTTAGAAAGCACAGGCTATCAGTAACCAGAAAGGCTGAAGTACTAGATTAGGTAATCTACTAATTAAGATGCCAGACAGATATGCAATCTATAATTGTCATGACGTGAACAAAATGGGTTCGCAATTACATGAACAGTGGAAGAAAGCTTTAAACAGCTGGCTGTAAATTTTCCAGTGGAATGTTGCCATTTCATTCAGATGCAGAAACATAATGATTTCACTGAAATGCCACTGGGGAGGGGGACGAAATTAAGATCATATGCAAGGCCTTCCCTTTCAGGAAAAACTTTTAATCTCAAGCCTTTTACTTCACGTTATATTTTAACACAATATTGACATTTAAATGAACCATCTTGATTTTATCAATATAAAATCTTTCTGCTAGATAACTCGACCCTTGGTGGAAATTTCACTGAATGGAGTGTTCCAAGAGAGTGTGTGTCTGTGTGTGTGTACGTGCACCCGCACGTCTGTGTATATGTGTGCCTTTTCTCTGGTTGTATTTCAATCTGGAAGGAAAACAGATTTTGAAAGAACAGCAACACTGGAATTATCTTTTTTTTTTTTTTTTTTAACAAAGAGCCTTACAAAAGTCCCAGCAAGAAGAGGAATGATGTGCAGTTCTAGGGTATCCTACCCTTGCAGATTATCTATCGGAATGCAAAAAAATCTGGTGCAGCAACATTGAAACAAACAAACAAACTCAAAAGCTCTAACCTATAACATTGTCATTAAAGTGTGACCTCTGAAACATCTTCCAAAGGTATTATTGCTCCAGCAGATGAAAAGATGGCTGAGAATTATAATACAGAGCTGTGCCCTAATTGATCTGGGATATTAGTTTCCATCTTCCCTCGAGAATTTTTGGCAGCAATTTTGTGAACACTGCCAATCAGATTTGCAACTTACATCCATCCATATTAGTTTCTCACACGAAGTGTTCTTTATTAGAACATTAAATACCTTATCTTTCAGTATTAAGGTTTTCATTATCAGGTTGTTGGCACTAAGTAAATAATCTGTGACTCTTAGTTTCTCATAGTTTTTGAAAGCTAGGAAGGACAGCCTGGGCCCTCTAACAGAACCTGCATAGCTACATCTGGTAAGAGCGATCTACCAGATACCCTCAAGTCTGCAACTGTTGGAAAAGGATCATAGACCTGACTCTTGAAGCAAATGATTTGGCCAAATACCACTCAATGTGTATCTTCATGAATAAATGATTGAGAAACTGGAAAAGAGTATTTCCAGCAGCACCTTCCTCCTGCCAAATTCGGGGACTCCACAAGGTCAGATTTCCCACTAGGATACAGTTGGAAAAGGTCCTACAAGCCAAGACAAGGAGCAAATAAAGCAAAGAGGGTTTTGTTCAGTTTCACATTGTTAATCTATGGACAATGCATTGGTTACAGAAATAAAAACTGAAAACATAAAAACATTATTTTTGGTGCCTAATTATTCTAGCTGATGTTCAGTTAGCCACAAGTCACATGGAAACTTCAGAACTGGATAAATTAGATAATGACTCTTATTGTTACACTCATAAAAAACTTAACTGGCTCAAGTTATTAAAATAAACTTTATTCCACTGTGTTGCCTTGCACTGTTCGAAAACAAAAGTGTCATGAATACACAGGTAGGACTCTTACGTGCAATTCCAAAGAAATGTGCCTATCAATGAGCACATGTGCTCACACAAACCACAGAAGTTATAAACCAAAACTGTGCCAAGAAATCCTGTGCCAAATTAATCCAAAATCCACATGGACTTGCCATTTTTTCCAAGAGAAGCTGAACTAGTGAAGCAGGTTTCCTGCAGATGCAGTTCTTCACCACTTATCTCTGTCCCTCCTCAGCGGGATGTCCCTGGCTCACACCCATGACATCCTCTGTTACATCCCCAGCAAAACCAGGACATGTTGCAATGATTCCAGAGCTTTGCACATGCTGTTTGAAGAGTCAAGGATCTGCCAAACAAAAACTAAATGATGAAGTGTCATGATTGAGGAATTCTCCTGGCCTTTCCTTCAATGGGGGTACTAATTTCATTCTCTTTCCTCTACACGGAAGTTAGTTTCCATGAAACTAGAAAAAACCTTATTATTTCTGGAATCTTGATGAACTTGACCAACCATTTCAAAGCTGTGGCTTCCCTCAGCTTTGACAGGCAGAAGCATTTGACAAAGAGCGCATGTTCACAAAAGCCTCATTTGCCTGGGAAATCAGGCTAAAAATCTTGAAGCCCAGCAAATGGCCTACACAATTCCAAACAAAATATGAAAAATGAGCCGTTCAGCTACACTTGCAAAATAACACATACAATTTAATACAAATGAACAACAACAAAAAACCTTGTTTTTTTAAAGACTGGTATCACATATGAATCGCTCAACATACAAGTGGATGGGAATTACAGTACTTTCTTACAGAACAGTTCTATGGACTTCTAATTAGAGAATCC